TTTGCTTTTTTTCTCTGGAGATGCATTTGTTTTCCTACAATTTCTCTGGTTCTCACTGCGCTTTGCTTTTTTTCTCTGGAGATGCATTTGTTATCCTATAATTCATCTGGTTCTCATTGCACTTTCCTTTTTTCTCTGGAGACGCATTTGTTGTCCTATAATTTCTCCAGTACTCTTTATGTTTTTCCTTTTTTTCCAGCGATATATTTGTCATGTATGCAGGCCCTTTTCTGTTGTCTTTTTCTATTATTGTTTAATTCTCAGGTTTTTGTGACTTTTGTTTTCATTTGTGGATAAACTACCACTGCAGGAGTTAGTCACATTTCTATCACCTTCTGTTTCTAGTGATTGGGTACTGTCATCTTCCACTGGATCATTTAATACTGATGCACTAAAATGGTCCTTGTCAACTTGATTTGAATTTTGACTACACAACGCTGAACATGAGGAGACAGTGCACTTGACCTATGTGTCCTATGTATATTAACTGGGGATTTTCTACTGTATTTGCTGGTTCAACTATTGTCACCTCTCTGAAATTCTATTCTGACTCTATGATATAAACCTTTAAATTCATCGCATCAGGCACAGCTTATATGACAATATTATCAGCCCATGTTCCTTGCATAGACATACTAGATAAACATTGCAACCATGATGTCTCTGTTTTACTTTCTACAAATCATTCTAGATTTTCAGTCAAATACCTAACTCCTTGTAGCTCCGAGTTCCTAATGATGACTTGAACTACTACATAACTGATGCAATACCCACTTAAAAAAAACAATCACCTCCGCCACCAACATCTAAGGGTGTTAATCTATATCTAATCATTCTGCATTCCAGTAAAAAAAATGGGGCACTGGAGGATATCTCTTTTACAGTTGATGTATTTTCTGCTGTTGCATGGCCAGGATTCAATTCAACTTCACCAGAGAGTAAAATATTTCATTTAGATGAATTACATATTATTTTTGATGTTTTTGTTGACTTAAAATAGTACCGTACTTATTCGCCTATAAGCCGAGACCCTAAACTTCTTCATGTCAGCAGCTGTTGCATTGAAATAAAAAATAAACACAAAACATTCGGCTATAAGCCGAGACCTAATAATTGCAAAGTACTCCACGCGTGTCGTTAACTGAGATGAATTAACATAAACCGAAAACAAAAGGAGCTTCCCTCTCGGGAAACATG